ACATTTACCAGTAGTATACTAACCATCAGAACGCAATTACCATCAGAATTTTACCATCAGAGCCCAACTTTACTATCAGAACAATACCATCAGGCCAAAAACTATTAGGAACGTCCCATTTTCTATCAGGAATTAGACAAATAACTGATCGTACTTTTTTTGATGGTATTTTTCCTCATGGTAAATTTTCTGATGGGATTTACACCAGTGAGGGTAACATTCTTCCCCGCGGCAAGGCAGACTTTGCGGCAGAGGCAACAAATGTGGCCCCGAGCCCGGATACTTTCGGTTGTTGCCTTACTAGGGGCAACATTCACGATTTCTCACTGCCTGGAGAGTAACAATAACCTCTCAAAAAGTTGCCTTTAGGAATTACAGTGCAGTTCCAACTGCTAGGGAGCAGCCTACTCCAACTCCACTATAAGAAATCGTGCGCTCAAAATAGGGGTTTGAGTTAGATTTTGCAATAACATCAAGTCGTAGTATTACTTGAAATATGATCTTATTGAAGTTATTATAGGTTTCAAACGTGTATGGTCCATCAGATAGGCGCACCTGACCGGTTCATTTCTCATAGTGGGCTCAGGGCGTGCTGCGCCCTAGCCGCCGGAGCTGGACGCAGCGCCGCGCCACCTCTCAGGCCTCATTCTTTTATTTTTGTCAGGTGAAAATGTAGCTATTTGGCAGATGATGAAGCTAAGAGACGGCATATAGTTTTAAGACTACCTTCATACCACGGCCAGTACAATCCTATACGCTAATCTGGGCTCTTCTTAACAAGCACTATTTTAAAATAAAGACTTTACTGAGGAAAAGTGCCTAGAAAAATGGCATGCAGCCATTGATTGTGTTACCCCAGACATATGGAGAAAAGTTGTTAATGAAATTGGGAATTGTGCTCTTGACTTGGTAAGGTAGACTGTACCGATCACTTACTCTAAAATTAAGTTCTCGGCAGGTTGACATAATGACAGTGATAGTATGGTGCCAACGATGGAGATGTCGATGACCCCAAGCCTACCTCCATGACACAAGTCAACCCTTCAACGCCTTTTCAAGGGAGACCATTGAGAAGAGCTATTTTTGTAGCGTTGCCCGGCCCTTACTGGCCTGAAAAGTGCACCTTTGAGTGCAAGTCTTCCTTTTTTATACTTTTCTTTCTTTCTTTTTTGCTTGATATTAAAGCACATTTGGCACATTTGACTTAATTAATAGGGGTTCGGGTTCCTCCTCCCTATCACAATGAGCCAGCACCGGACCGAGAGCGCCTTCCGCTGGTGCGTATGTCCAAATTTACATACAGACTCCGTCGAGTTATCAATGACTCAGAAAATGGACAAAATGCTGATGTCTATTCCGTCAGCAATGTTTCACGTACCGCAGTCAAGTCAAAAGAATTCTGCGCATGTGTCCGAAGCTTACGTCTTTGCTAACGACCTCGTCGGTGACGCCGAAGGCGACGAACTTCTTGCGCAGCTTCCTCTGAGTCAACTCGTTGCCAACGAATTCCGCAATGATATAGCAGGCGACGAGCTTCTTGCAAATGTACCCATCACTGAAGAGCTTGCTAACGAACTTCACAGCAGCAGTGAAGACGACAAACTCCTTGCGGATATGTGTCCGACCTAACTCGTTGCTGACGCAATGTGCAACGATAAAGGAGGCGACGGTCTCGTTGCGGGATCATCCGAGACTCAATTCGTTGCCACCGACGTTGGCACCCAGGATCACAGCCAATTCCCATCAGAATCACTTTCTCAGGTTCTTTCGAGCGGTGAGTCATTGAACAGCGTTCGCGACATTTATTCACCAGTCACATTCAGTGAAAGTGATACGGAACTGAATGCCGATATGCCTGCCGTGTCGGAGGGAGCGCGAAAATTCCACCGATTTTCCACATTTCCTTGTGACTGCATTCCAGTCCAGGAAATTACATTGGTGCCCGATACCGACGATGAGGATGACACCGATTTTGAATTTCCTCCAAACAGAGAGACTATCACCGGACCGCAAACACCTCCTCGACTCCGCCAGAACTCCGAGACTGGTGAAACAAGTGAGCACACATATTCATCAGTGTCACTTCAGCCAGATGAGTCAGAGGCAATATACAGCGAAAGAGATTTGACTCCACAGATATCCCTTCGACAAGGCCAGAGTCGTCCTGTCACTCTCCCAAACGCACCTAGCGTACCTCACACTACTCCGTCTCAAGCTGTTGACAACAAACCCTCTGAAGCTGTTGAGGGCAATACTTCTCAAGCTGTTCAGAACAGTCTTTCTCAAGATGTTAGGAAAAACCATTCTGAACAGTCTGATGATGCATCTGGAGAGTCTGCACCCAGTCAGCCACCCAAAAAGGTCAACGTTGCCCGTTTTGAATGTGAGGCCTGCGATAAACAGTACGCGAGTAAAAATGGTCTGCGGGCGCATATACAGGCAATTCACGACAAGAAACAGTTCAAGTACGATGAGTGCGGAAAACGATTCTCACGAAGATCCTCTCTGCATACACACATGCACGTACACAAAGGCAGGGAGTTAAAGTGTGCTAAATGTGGGCAGGAATTCAAGCGCAACGCTAACCTGGTTGAGCACTTTTTCTTGAAGCACGAGAAGAAATCAGATTATGAATGTCAATCTTGTGGGAAACTGTTCTATAGGGCTTTCCACCTGGAAAGGCATGTACGTGCACTGCATCCTAGGCTGTAAGTATTACTGCAGACATTTTGTTGCGGGCCATCGAATAGGGGATGGCATAAATGCCTTCACTTGGCTACTCGATGACAGCTTCGAGACGTTCTCGATAAGCTCTCCAAGTACGCTACCAATACGTTTTGGCCGTAATAAGGTGCATGTTTTAGTAGCTGTCACGGTGAGCGTCAAGAACATGCATAAGATTTAACTCTTCCCTTTTCTGTCACTTTGTGCTAAAAAAATTGTTTGAAAAAAAGCCCGAAGAACGTACACATTGTACCTGCCCCCCC